GGGCTTCCCAAACTTAGGGGTACCAGTCTGGGGGTTTTAATAACGAGGATGTATAATATTTAAGGAGTTTATATTGGGAGTCCCCCTGTTTAGGGAAACTGCTATTACTTACTGAGAGTTAGTAGGGAATAAGGGAATACATAGTGTTTAGGGTTTCGGTTGTGGGCATATCGGGGTCCATATTGGGGGCCCCCGTGCTTAGGGGAAACTCCTAAACCCTAAACCCTGCTTAGCAAAAAGGGGAAACTACTAGGCAGGGGGTCAACGGTGTGGCTTGTGGCGTTGAGTGAGTCGGTTTCATGTTTAGGGCGTTTGGGTTTCTGGGGTTTAGGATTAAGGGTTTAGGGGTTAGGGGTTTGGATTTAGGGTTTAGGGTTAGGGGAATAGGTTTCGGGGTTAGGGATCTAGAAAACTTAGACCCTACACCCCAATGGAGAGTGAACGTAAGAACTACAGAGAGGGATGTACCGGACCGGAGAGTCCATCGGCACGGTTTGAGAGGTTTAGCGTTTAGCGTTTGGGTTCACTGTCCTTGGACGGTACCGAGCTTGTTAGGGCCCAGGAGGCGCACAAACACATACGTTTTTCTGTCAAAGTTAGTTTAAGGCTCCCAGTACTTAACTACGGTTGATACCAACAGTCCTGCATGACCTTTATACTGTATGTGCCGCTTAGGTGCTTGGATGACCTGCTGGCAAAGCATATCGTCAAAATCTCTGAGGATATTACGGCGGACTTCAGCACACGTGCGCCTGCACTTGCAAACGCCATGACAACATTGCAGGTCCTGTGCGACGAGATCATCAGGCAAATCGTCCCTAAAACCTAAACCCTAAACCCCCCCAAGCCCTAAACCTTAAAACCTAAACGCTAAACCCTAAACCCCCCAAACCTCAAACCCTAAGCCCTAAACCCCAGATCATGGGCCAGATATGAAGTCTGACCGGGGAGCTGGCACTGTTCCTGTTCGCGTCCGCATGTGGGGACACTGCACGGGGTTTAGGGTTTAGAGTTCAGGGATATATAGTCCCCGTCAAGTAG